GCATGAGGTGAGCATACAAAGACCTGAAGAAAGAGTCTTGGAAGGGGATAGAAGGAGGAAAGAACCAAATGGGTGGTACACATTTGAGTGGACTATGTTTTATGTTTATTCATCTAGTGTGGGCCCAAGATACCAGAAAACTGATAGAAAAGTCCTTCAGACCTGCTAAAACAGCCATGATATCAAAGTTTATCTCTATGTAAAACATTAGATGTTGCACAATTCATGTTCTAAATCATAAAGGTGCAGTAAATTTACATATTTGTTTATTTGCATGCTGCCCCCCTTTACCCACCCTCTGTGCAAAATACCACTCTTCTTGGAGCTCATCTCACAGCTAATCACAAGTAGAATAACCCATGATGCAACACCACATTTTTGTAACATATTGAAATATTTAATAACAAATAATAATTATTTATATTGTTAAGAGTTTTTACATGCATATAGTGAGAACATAAGAATGGCCATACTGGGTCAGACCAAAGGTCCATCCAGCCCAGTATCCTGTCTATTGACAGTGACCAATGTCAGGTTTCCCAGAGGAAGTGAACTTAATAGGTAAAGATCAAGTGATCTCTCTCCTGCCATCCATCTCCACCCTCTGATAAACAGAGGCTAGGGACACCATTCCTAAGACATACAATGATAGTATATTATTTAACTGGCAACATATGTACAAATAGTTTATTATATATTCTTATCTCTGTAGCTATACAATACACCCAGTAGGAAAGTTTATTCTCTAGGTTAGGACAAGACTCGCAGGCCAACTGTGGAAAAAAGTGCTACGTTCTATTGAGTCCCCTTGCAATGTAACGTTTCTGCTTCAGTTTACTTTCCTCACATTTTCTGATTATTCTCTTCATTTTGTTCTTTAAATATATTGTGAGAGAATATACAGTTAATGAAGATGATGTTTGAAGAAGGTGGAACACAGTTGTTTTTCCCCAGTGATGGAGGATTTCCAAACTTCACTGCTGGTATATATGTATGTAGGCATTGCCATACTGGATCAGACCAGTGACCCATCTAAACTAGTATTCTGTCTCCACTAGCAGCCATACCAAATGCTTCAGAGGAGTATGCAAAAGAACCCCATACTACCTAACTAAGGAATAATCTCCCCCCTGTCAATTGGTTTATGACCATAAACATGGGAGTTTATATCTCTTTTACAAGACTTTTTTTTAAATCCCGGAGGATGTATATGTGTCAGGGTTCCCTCCCCACTCTGAACTCTGGGGTACAGATGTGGAGACCCGCATGAAAGACCCCCTAAGCTTATCTCTACCAGCTTCGGTTAAAAACTTCCCTAAGGCACAAATCCTTCCTTGTCCTTGGATGAGTACTGCTGCCACCACCAAGTGTGTTAGACAAAGATTCAAGGAAAAGAACCACTTGGAGTTCCTGTTCCCCCCAAATTCCCCCAAGTCCATTCACCCCCTTTCCTAGGGAGGCTTGAGAATAATATACCAACCAAATAGGTTAACAAAGTGGGCACAGATCAGCCCTTGGGGTTTTAGGACACTAAAAACCAATCCAGTTCTTAAAAGCAGAACTTTATTATAAAGGAAAAGTAAAAGAAGCACCTCTGTAAAATCAGGATGGAACGTAATTTTACAGGTTAATCAGATTCAAACACAGAGTATTTCCCTCTAGGCAAAACTTTAAAGTTACAAAACAACAACAACAACAACAACAAAAAACAGGAATAAACCTCCCTCATAGCATAGGGACAATTCACAAGCTAAAACAAAAGATAATCTAATGCATTTCCTTCCTATTACTTACAATTTGTAATCTTAGATGCTTAGTTCAGGTATCGCTTTGGGAGATTTATTTTCCCTGCCCTGATTCCTTGCTGACCCGGAGAGAACACACAAAGAGAGACAAAACAAAAACCTTCCCCCACAGATTTGAAAGTATTTTCTCCCCTCATTGGTCCTTTTGGTCAGGTGCCAAACAGGTTATTTGAGCTTCTTAACCCTTTACAGGTAAAGGAGGGATTTTATGCTACCCTTAGCTGTATGTTTATGACAATATGTTTGTGGATGTTCTCATTATCCATGTATCTGACTGATTCATTTTTGAATCCTACTAAGTTATTGGCCTGTGTGATACTTTGTGACAATAAGTTCCACAAGGTAATTATGCAATGCTGCTTAACCATATTGTGGCCACTATTACTTAGCGGCTTAACTTGAACCGATGCCCATGTATTAATAGGACTAAATCAAGAATTGCTTCTTCTCTTGTGGTTTGGAACATTTTCAGTGTTGAAAAATTTGCTTCTCTAAATGTTAGAATCATAGAGTTTAAGGCCAGAAGGGGCCATCAGATCATCTAGACTGAACTGTATATCACAGGCCCCCAACACCACTCAGCTCCCTCACACTACACCCAACCACCAAAATTAGACTAGAGTATTACATCCAACAGTCTATTATGTGCCACAGGCAGAGTATGTGTGGGACTGAGGTACACCAATGCCCGAGGCCCCTGCCATGGCAGGAATTTAAGTAACATATACCCAGATAATCCTGGCACATGGCCACCACTCATGCTGGTGAGGAAAGTGAAAAAAACCCAGGGTCACTGCCAATCTTACGTGGGGGAATATTTCTTCACAACCCCATATATGGTGTTCAGGCATAAGAGCAAGAACAAGCCAGGTAAACCCCTGAGATAGAGAATGCTCAAAAGCCCTGTCTCACCACGTTCTATGTCCCATTTCTTGTTTCGGCTATCTGTGATGCTTCAGAGGAAGGAGATTTTAAAAATCACATACAAAACACCCAGAATAAATTGGGGGGAGCGGAGGAGGAAAGAATCCCTTCCTGATCTATTCAAGTGACAGCTGAGCCTTGGAGCATGAGCTTGTAAGAAAATAAGACATAAATCAGAAGGAAACCTCCAGGGTTTCTGAGCCTTGCTCCCCACCATCACAAGCCATCATGTCATGCAATCCCACTCATACATTTGTCCAGATCTCTCTTAAAACTAATTAAGTTGTTTGCCCCTACGACTCCTATTGGGAGGCTGCTCCAGGACCTCACTCCTCTGATGGTTAGAGACCTTCTTCTAATTTCCAGACTGAATTTCTTCATGGTCAGTTTGTACCCATTTAATCTTGTGCTAACATTGTAATTTAGCTTACATAACTCTTAATTGTCCTAGTTTATCCCTGGTCTATTTATAGAGAGCGAGCATATCCCCTCTCAGCCTTCTGTTTCTAGACTAAACAAAACAAACTCTTCCAGTCTTCTCTCATAAGACAGACCCTCTATTATCCTAATCATCTTACTAACTCTTCTCTGCAGCTGTTCTAGTTTGAATTAATCTTTCTTGAACATGGGTGCTCGTAATTATACACAGTATTACAGATAAAGCCTTACCTGTGTCCTGTACAGTGGCATTAATATTATGATATTTGACCAGTTACTATGTAGGAAGTTGAAGTCTTCATTATTATTTTATTAAATTTTTTCCTTAGTTGATTTCCCTCAACACTGTGCCCTCAATATTCATTTTCTGACTAGGAGCCTGATAGTCCTTTTTTAAACACTAATATGTCAGTGGTTTGAGCATTGGCCTGCTAAACCCCGGGTTGTGAGTTCAATCCTTGAGCGGGCCATTTGGGGATTTAGTTAGGGATTGGTCTTGGTTTGAGTAGGGGGTTGTACTAGATGACCTCCTGAGGTCCCTTCCAACCCTGATATTCTATGATTCTAACATAGGGCCAATGCTGATTTAATTTACACTAGCGTATAGCATCAGTAACTCCAGTTAAGACAATGCAGTTCCACTGATTTAAAACTGGTCTGAGATAAGAATTAACCCATCATTTTCTTAATTGTTAGTGTGTGGAGATAAATAGATTGATTTTTTGTCGTATGACATGTAATGCCCGGAAGCAATCTGCCTAAGTTTTGAAGCCAGTCCCCTAAGCACTTTCCTTCTTCCTCCTTTCCTTGGGATGTGTTCTCATTAATTGTACAAGCATTCTTGAAAAGTAAGATGAAGAAGACTCTAAGAACAAATCTATTGTAGATATGCTCAGATTACTTACAGAAGTGACAAGTTTGGTCTTCAGATTTTAAGGGTGAAGTGATCACGATTCTTTTAATATCCCTGGGAAGCCAGTTCAGGGAGCAACACAAGTAAAAATTACTGGAGGAGATCATGGCTTCTACCATCTTAATCTCCAGCTTGATGAGAGAATTTAATGTTTGTGACTAGCTAGAAGGAGGAAAAGGAATTTAGGTAGAAGAAAATAGGAGAAAATGTAAGCGTGGGTAACTGTCAATATTTACATACCCAGTGGCTCTACCAAGAAAAGAAAATTCTTTAAAGCGGGTTTGTTCAAAATTCTCAGCTTGATTCATCACTGGTATAAAAAGTCATTGTTATGCCAGAGTACGCCAGTCACATAAGTGTAAGCCATTTTTTAGTAAGCCAAGCCTGAAGCACCTATTTTAGAAGCTTCTTCAGCAAAAGATGTGATATTGAAAGAGAGCTCTTGACTTTATTTGGGCCAAAATTTAGATTTTTTAAAATAAAGCTATTACAAGACCTAATATTAGAAGAAATGTTTTCATGAACTCTTTTGAAGCAAAAGGAAAATAGCTTTTTTGTGTTTGCATGGATTTCAACATACCCTTGCAGAGTTTGCAACAAAAAATATTGTAGCTTTGTGCTAGTATAGGAGAACCAGAAGTAAAAAAAAAAAATAGTACCTAAATATGAGAGCTGAAAATGTTTGAGCAAAATATCAGGATTGAGGTGCATTGACAGAAGTGTGTGAAGAATCTTATATAACAATGAACTGAATTACACCTGACACAAGTCCCTGTTATTTTCTTATTTTTAAGAACACTAAATTCATGCAGCTTTGTAAAAGCGAGAACACTGTTCACCTGGATGATAATGTTATTACTAAAATCAGTCACAAAGTAGCAGCTTTTGGGGACTCAAAAGTAGTCAAATTTCATTTCTTACATCTAGAGCAAAGTTACTTAATATGCAAAAAAAAGAAGGAAAAGAGGAAGAATATTATACTAAATTCTGCACCATTGAATTGCTTCTGATTTCCTATTACTGGGTAACATTGCTGGGTTCTTGTCAAAGGAATCTTTAACAGCTGAAATCCTGGGACTGCTAGTGCAGATGGTTATGGATCCTAGCACTGAGAGGCTATCTTCAAGGCTGAAAGGATGGGAGATTTGAAATTTAACAAAATGTATAGAACTAAACATTTGATTAATGAAAAATAAATACATCAATAACTTCTGAACTGAATATCAACAAAAGAACACTAGTTAGTTCTAAAAGGTCAAGTTTTGAATTAGAAATATTTGCCGAAGTTCTGAACAGCCATAAGAAATTTGCATTGCAGATAAGTGACACTTGGAAAGGGTTATATCACTTTGTGTGTACTTCAACACTGCTGGGGTTTAATTTATGTACTGTCATTGCAAAGAGGGAAGTATAATGGATTTTTAATTATCACAAACTACGAAGAGCAAAGGGAAAGTACTCGAGTTTCTAGACAAAGCAGGAAGAGTATTAGGAGTTATGAAGAACAAATTACACAGTCCTGGCCTATTAAAGACTTCCAGGACATGTGGTGCTCCTGTATTTTAAAAGGTGTACATTAATTTCTGGAGTCAATTTCAGAGTATAATATTTAATTACTTTAAAATTGCTAAAAAGGTTGAATATAGCAAATTAACTGGTTTATTTATTTTCATATAATTTCCTCCACCTCTCCCACCCTAGCTTTTGGGGTGAAGGCAGTAGGTTTATATTCCATGCAAATGTAACAGAAATTTGCTAATTAAACTTGTAATTTCATGGCTTTCCAGATAGTGAGCTCAGGGGAAGGTAAAGCCCCCATAGAAAAGTGTTTTGGTCCCAGATAGTGTTACAAAATGCATCATTATTTGATGGGCTTTTGAAACACAATTACTTTTTTACAAGTGCTAACATACAACTACCCATCTTCCTGTCATTTCCTGTGCCAGTATGAAAGGGGCAAAGAGCTTCATTCTCCACTATGTTGCAATAGTATAACCTTGTATAGTTCTTTACATTTGTACAAGGTGAATGAAATATAAAACACCTCCATTCAGTAACAAGTGTTTACAAGAGAGCTTCTGGCTCTTCTGAGTGTCTTCCTTTTCACTAATGACCTCATCCAGTGCTTGTTGAGTCAAAGAGAGTTTTTCTATTCATTTCAATGGGCATTGAATTAGGCCCAGTTAAATACACTACCCACTACAACACACATCAAGTAAGAATTTTGGTTTCCTTTGTTTTCTGTAACATTATAATTTTCATTACACTCACCTCTTCACCATAACTCTTTCTTCCCTATTTCTCTTCAGATTCCTTTTCTTCACTTTTCCTGCTGGTTGTCACTGAAAACACATTTGTCATGGATTTTCAGTAGAGCTGGTTGAAGTGTTCAGAGTTTTAGGTTCAGTTCATATAAGCATCCTTACATGTTTTGATGAATTGCCAAAGCTTATCTGAATTGCTTGAGCCTTCAAAACAAATCTGGAAATTTCATAATAGGTTTTCTTGGAAAATTTCCAGCAATTCTGCTTTTGGTTCTGTTATACTGCAACAACCTCTCTGTGAGTATTTCAGCACCTCCAATTCCATCTGGAACCCAGAAGGATACACATACATACATAAAAATAAAATGCTACCCGAATACTTCAGAGTTCCAGTAAAGGTTTTATCTCATTCCAGGTCTAAACAAAGATTAAAGCTAATGGGGATATCTAGACTTTTCCTGCACTCTTTATCCCTAGTTTTCATCATCAAGATAATTGACTTCTCCAGGAAAAAGGAAATAATTAAAAACTCTACTGCTTCTTGGAAAAAAAATAAAGTAAGGGGAAATAATGGTTGAGGAAGTAAACAAAGTGCATTCAAATGATCGTCAATGCCTTTGAGGGAGTTCAGGGAGAGAAATGTAAGGTTTTAAAAAGGAGAAGTTTGTACACTCTTAATTTCAATGCTTTCTTTGTTTTTGTCCTGCACTTTCCCTTGCCCTTGCATTACACTGTACAGACTATACATTCCTAAATGGTTTCTCTAAACACCGCACTAGCTGCTATTTCTAGTGGCAACAACTTTTGAACTGTAAAGGCAAGGAAATGTGTTTTATTAATGTGTTAAAAGAGTCTGAAATGGATGGATTTTATTGTAAGGACATTATTGTATTTTATAGCCAAAAGATGCACTTTGGGACCTTTTGGAGTATTATGGTGTCTGGGGAGCTGCTGTAGTCTGTATACTTGGGTAGAATTCAGAATTCAACCATGTGTGATCACATAGAAGGAACCACACTACTTATGTTATTTTAAATTATTAGAGTATTGGTTATTTTATTTTTCTAATATATGAATAATGTGTAAGGTAGTTGGTTTCTTTCCTCAAATTAGATTTAACAACAATTTGACTTATAAACTAACAGCACATTAGATGTAATAACAACCATGGTTACACCATCAGTGCACCATGCACCTCAGAGTCTGTGGCCAAATCTGCTATCAATAACATAAAATAATATCGGAGACACTCCAAGGTGAACTGAGAGAGGAAACATCATCTCCTAAAATGACGACATCAGAAAATCTTCCACTGTGAGTAATGGCTGACATAGAAATAAGTCTTGTTCATGGTCTCAGATGTAACCTGTTGCTTCTCCCTAGTGACTGATACTGTTCTTTGGGAACTGGAGCAACACTTGTTGTAGAACAGACTTGTTTGTTCCTGATGGCAGACTATTTGTGAGAGCAGAAGACATAAAGGTAAATAAGGCAAGAACTGTCTACTCAGAAGATTTCCAGTCAGTACCACATCCAATGAACAGCAGTTCTGAGGAGATGATACAGGAGGGAAATTTGCCTCGTTGGGAAATAGTAATGGAAGCTTTATCTGCCAGGGAGCTTACAGCACAAAGAAAAGAAAGCCCTATTTTGTAGGATTTGGAATAATATCAAAATGGTGTATGGACTGGAATAGAACTATTTTTAAAATCTGCCATTGGAAAAAAGGAGGTAGGGGGAGAGGGAAAGAGTGAGAGAAAGGAAAAAAGAAAAGTGGTATTGAAATAAAAAATGAAAACCCAAACATTTTTCATAGGAAATTTTGAAAAAAAAATTGAAAAAAGAGTCTGAAATGGATGGATTTGTTTTTTTAATTACTGTGGGTAAAATATCCTTTTTTTTTTTTTTTTACCAGCCCTAGTTTGGAATAATTGGAGGAGCATTTGCAACCATGTTATATTTCAGTCTACTGCAATCAGCCACACTATTGCCAAACCCTGGCAAGGTGTATGAGGATCAGACAGTGACAAAGACTAGTGCAGTCAGCATGGATAATTAAAAGCTCATTATACAACAACAGATCACAGCTAATCTCAGCGAGGTGAGAATTGTGTCTGTTTATATAAATATTTGTTGCGAAGGGAAGGAAACTGGGAGTGAGCTGTGAATTAGATTGCACGCACCCAGAAAAGTTTTAAATCAAAGAACTGCTAAATAACAATCAAGTTCTCCTGTGGACTGAGTATATGTGCTAGATCTGCAAAGGAATGGGCTTAAAAATGTCAGCAGGGAGAATATAAGAATTGTACATAGTACCCAATGAAAAGACAGCAACTGAGCTACAGGAGATAGCTTGAAAACATAGGTTCAGGTCTGCATTTTGAGGGCTTGCAGAAACAGCTATTAAAGTCAATGTGACATTTTGCTTACATGACTAAAGTATATTGGAGACTATAAGATTAAGAAGGGTATCTGGGATTGGACCAATGGTGGAACTTTGTTATATTTTGATTCTGATTACAATTCTGTTCCAGCACTATGGCCCTCAGAGAGTCCACCTAATTTATTTTCAACATGATGGGCTTTAATTGTATTTTCCGCATTTAAAATTGGCTTTTTTTACATTCCAAATTTAACAAGTTACTGTCTGACAACTCTGAGATTCGGCACCTAGCTTCTTAACTGCAGTACAACCACTACGACTATTAGTGCTGATCCAGTTCTGGTAAAGAATGAAACTCCCCTCTTGTTCAATTGGCAGGTGTTCAGTAAGTGACTTAATCATCACTAGCAATTAAAGGAAAATGTTCTATATTGACTTTAACAAAGTTGAAGTAAGAATTAATCTCCAAGGATTACATAAATAATGGGTGAAATCTTGGTCCTGTTGAAATCAAGGAGAGTTTTGCCACTTACTTCAATGGGGTCAGGGTTTCACTCATTGTTTGTTTGTTTTTTAACTTAAACATGGACGTATAGAAATATCTAGAGATGGGTAAAGTCCATGAGGAACGGAAAATTATCACAACTTTCCCTTCATTTTGGGGGGTGGATTTTAACCAGGGGCTCCAGACAGGCCCCTCCAGTACTTCACTGACAAGGTCATTATCTCTCTGCTGCTCACTCTCAGATAAAACAACTGACTGTATTATGCTGGTTGCTTTCAGGCATACTTTTTGTTCTGATCCTAATGAGAAAATGGCATTTGCAAATGAGACTAGAGGGTTTGTTGACCAGAATCTACATTCCTACTGCTTCAGTTTTGATCAAAACAGAGAAGGAGACTCAAGCAAGGTGCCATTTCACCAAAGATATTTTCAAATGTGTTGGAGTCAATTCTGAAGGAGAGAGGATTAGGTTAGTTGGGATCACAAGTCTTTAGTATCAGTGGAGATGGATTGAGCCTAGAAGACTTAGGGAATATGACAAAAGAATTTGCAATGAAAATACGTAAGAAATGATCTACAAATGAGCATAGCCACTGGCCAATTGGCTTGCAAAATCAAAAGAGATTCTCACTGAATTAAACTATACCAATTAAATTTTGAAATGGAATCAAAATGATCAAGGAAGATTAACAGGGAAAGCATCTTATAAAGTTGGAAACATTTTCAGAAGTAAGTGTCCCAAACGTAAGTTTTTTGAGAGTGAAAGTACATTCCCTAATATGTTCTTCTACTCACGATGTGTTCCTTGGGGACATAGAGACTAACTATCTACACAAGGAGGAAGATGCAACTAACATAGCGAGCTGAGGGATGAAAGATGATCAAAATCATAAAGAGAGATTACAAAGCAAATTAATCAAGGGGAGAGTGAGACAAGAGCTGGAGATAATGTATGAGCAGTCACTGGAGAAGTGTGTTGATCATCTGTCCTGCAAACATGATGGCAGATGGACCCAAGTGAATAAAGCCAAGTGAATTCTTTATATGAGGAAAAGATTATATGGATCCCCAAGGAGGCCCTAAACTGATACAAACCCACATGGTGTCTCTTCATTCTCATCAAAGACCGACAGAAAAGGAAAAAGTGATGTTAGGCTTCAGTAGCCATTTCACTATAAGGGCCAGATTCTCCATCCTGCTCAAACTCTGTTTTGTGCAGGAATAGGGAGTGGGAAGTTGAGGGAAAGATGGCTTTAATCTGTTCATTTTAATGCAGGGCCGGCTCCAGGGTTTTGGCCGCCCCAAGCAGCCAAAAAAAAAGCCGCGATCGCGATGACAATTCGGTGGGAGGTCCTTCGCTCCAAGCTGGAGTGAGGGACTGTCTGCCGAATTGCCGCCGAAGAGCTCGACGTGCCGCCCCTCTCTGGAGTGGCCGCCCCAAGCACCTGCTCGGCAAGCTGGTGCCTGGAGCCGGCCCTGATTTTATGGAGCCATTTGGGGGCTGATTCAGCTCCTGCCACAAACTAAAGCAGCCTCAGGGATAGAGTATGGCAGGGGAGAACACTAAAAAAACAGTCCTAGATGGGGTTTTGTCAGCCTAGTGCCTCTTTGCAGATCCCTTATATCTCTTCCTTGTATAAGGAATTCAGTTGGGTTTATTCAGTTGAGTCCATCTGCCATTGCATTTGCAAATTGGATGACCAATACACTCCTGGTTCCATTAACTACATCTTAAGATTGCTGGAGCAGCATAAAGGGGCCTGTAACAGGGTGATCTGCCCCTTTAATGGCCCAAGGGAGAGGAGGGGAGGCAGGAAGCAGCTGACCCTGCTCCAGGGAGAAGCCCAGCAGGCAGGTTCTGGGAATCAGCTGACACAGCTGAACAGTACCTCATAATTTGCCCACTTAGCTGGACAATAAAGGAGGTCCCAGCTCATTGGTGAGGACAGGTGGAGGAAGGAGGAAAAGAAGGAGAGAGTAGGGAGTATATTTTCCTGTCACCAGAGCAGGAGGCTGCAGGCAGGTAGGCCTTGTGGATCTCCCTCCCACCAGGGTTGGAGAAGGCCCTGCCTGGTAGCTACTGGAGGCCAGATAGCCCCCATCTGAACCTTTAACCAAGTTGTTGTTTGTTATTTTTGCACATTGTTTCTTTCCTTGTGAAGATATTAAACAGAGCCCTGAAAGAAGGGACAGAGACTAAGCTGAGCTTGGCTGACACCTAGTCCCTAGCTGGTGATTAGGGCCACTAGTTTACAGGGCCACAGAACAGATTCTTGCCCCCAGTATTTTGCTGTTGTAATATTGCTCTAGTGGAATCGGAGTAAAGTAGCTCACATTCTAGTTTTCACAATAGAAATTGGGATGTGAAATTGTCCAAAGGGCCACAAAGTACTGATGATTTCATACTTGTGATTCGATGGAGGAGTCCTATGAAAACCACAACAAAGGGCCAACTAGCCAACAGAACACGGCTTAGTGCAATAAGTATCCAAAGCCATATGGCAATAAGGCATGAACCCTTAGGTTCGCGGGTTTCTAAGAGGCTTGTTATAGTTATGGAACAAACATATTTTCATTGTCTGACCATAATCTGCCAATGCAGTTCTTTGAACTGAAGAATTTAAGAATTTAAACTAAAGCTGGTACTTGACAGGTAGCTGTGATTTAACAGCTTTGTCTTTGACAAACACTTCTGACAGCTAATTATTATTTTGCCTAGAAGTTTTCTTTTTCATAATAAGGTCAACACAAGAAGTTCTGTGGAAATGAATAGAGGGAACTAGCTGTCACTTTACAGTGTCTTTTTTATAAATTTAACAATATACCCTTATGCCAAGATTATGACAATACAAATAGATCACATTATGGAACCTTTTTTTCTGAACTTCTTTATAATATTTTTTATGAAGTAGACACTTGGGTCTGGATCTTCTAAGGTATTCCATTATGGGAGTTAGGCCCCTAAATACCTTTGGGAATCTGGGCCTCAGATACTGTTGTGCACTGACTGATGGACAGTAGCGTAAATGAATGAATAATAATAATGGAATTAAATATAATAGTGAAGAATTCTGCACTCTGCTTATTTACTGGGAATTCTCTCCTATCATATTATGCCATACCACATGGTTGAACATGTCAAAATTACCTGATGAGTCTCACATGTAGATTTGTTATCTGAGGTTTTGCTGAACCCAAAGCTATGGGTAACTTTACTCTTTGCAAGGTGGTGGCAGGAAATAAATCAATGGGGACACAGCTGTCCGGATGATAGATAGTTGATGCAAGCGGGCAAACAAAAGTGCTTTCACTCAAAACTTCTACTTTATTTATAGAGCCCTGCATGGATAAAAAATTCATATCTGTGGATGGCGGATATCTGTGGATATAAATCAGATATTAGGGGAGCTGCAGGGCTTCACCGGGAACTGCAACAGTGAAAGCAGCAGCATGTCGGGCCACTGCTCGCAGGAGCAAGTGCCCTGTATGGGCAGCTCTTCTGGCATGGCTGTACCGCCCCCAGCCCTGTCCCCAGTCCCACCCACTGGGGCGGGCACCAGGCTCACCCACAGCTGTCCCTGGTTGCACTAGTGTGTGCAAGCAGCTCGCATGCCCCCAGTCAGGAGACGCAGACTGCTGTGTGGAAGGGACTCCGGTCCCAGGGTATGACCAGGGGCAGATGTGGGTGGAACTGGTGCCTGCCCCAGTGGGCGGGACTGTGGGCAGTACAGCCACGCCAGAGGAGGGCCTGCATGGGGCTCTGCCTCCTGTGAGTGGCAGCCCAATATGCTGCTGCTTTCGCCGCTGCAGTTCTTGGTAGAGCCCTGCAGCTCCTCAGATATCTGATTTATATCTGCGGATATCTGCATCCGTGGATATAAATTTTGTATCCACGCAGGGCACTATTTATTTAGTCCAGCACTTACACACATCTGCAATAGGTTAATAGAGCAGCCCAAATTACCCCCAGATTTATATTTACCCAGGGTTTTGAAGATGTCTCGAGTGGATAACTGTAGACATCCAGTGGCCAGCCTTCTGTCTGCAGGGGAACTTGAGAGGTGTCCAAGTGTTCAAGCATCCACCAAGCCCAGAATCCTTCCTCTTTTTATTCCCAATTTGTTAGCATTACATAGCTTGTTCATGAAAAAAAGGGCTAAGCAGAGGTTAAGTTAAATGGAGAGTTTTCCAGCCTGTAGTTTTCCAACCTGCAGTGTGGATTTTTCCATCAGTTAACTAGCTGTATCTCACTACTGAAGATCACTACTACTTGGAACATCAAAATTATTACAATGGGATTCAGGGCCAAGTTGAAGATCCCTGTGCCAGCGAGTAACCATTCCAATAATGCCTCCCACCACTGGTGTTTTTTAGATTCTGGCCAATTCTTGCAAATATACATTTAATTTCATTGATGTTATGATGTACAGTAACCATGACCTTGTGCACCTCTTGTTTGGCAGTATGCAAATCAGGGCGTGCAAGCAACATTTGTAAAACAGTTAAAGTCATTCCAAGGGATACAGATTTTACAGCAGAGTACAAAGGATATGTCTCTTTTAATTGATTATATTTAAGTTCAGGCACTTGAAATTCAAAATCACATCCCCGAATCACTGTAACATGGCAAAAACATTTATCCTCATGAGGATCATTATCTATTTTATGCATGTAATTAACAAGAAGCATAGGACACCAGCTTCTTAGAACACACAGTGATCACCTATATATACAAGCATATAGTTATTATTTGCAAATGGGTTAATAGCATAGTGGCATTTCCCTTCAGTCAGTTCCAAACACACATCCTCTACTTGCAGGGCATTTTTGTTGCTTTCATATCCCATTCCAGGTTCTTTTAAGCAGGCTTCCAATTTTACTGTTTTTCACCCTGGTCATTTGTCACCACCCATAGTCCATATGTGTCGACCCATTGCATTTATCTTGTTTGCTAGCATTTCCTCATTGATGCTGTTAAAAACTCCACCCTTGTTCCAATTGCTCCTTATAGGTCTCTTCTTACCCATTCCTTTCCAGATTTGGGGACCTCATATAGATTTATCCAGTTTTTCCATCTTTCAAATAATGGCTGGACCAACTGTTTACAGAGGGCCTCTAGTGCCAAAATGTTTCTTGAGACTCCAGAGCCTCCAAATTGCATGGCAAAGGAGCTTCCCATTCCCCTCCTGAATGAATTGGTTTTCCCCCCAGTGCTGTCCGCTGGGGAATGTCAGTCCACAAATGAACACATTTAGGCTTAGTACAATTAAATAATAGCTTATCAGTTCCCACCCAGTGACAACTGTACCCACCTGGGTAGCTTTTAATGCTCCACACAAACAAATCCTTTCTCCCACTAGCCCCTTATGTATACATGAGAATGGTGTGGTTGCCACTGAAGTGGGGGATTCCGTAGTGGCCAGTGTAGACCATTTGCAACCCAAACCATGACACATTGCCAGTTCTTGCTCATTCCCAAGCTAATGTTTCCAAGGGGCCTAAAGAGTGATTTGTTCTTCTGGGATGTTGGGATCAGTAGTGATGTCAAAGGTATTGTTCACTTTACATTTCACTGTCAATCACTGATTGTCTCCCCATGCTGTAAACACAATGGATTCCTGATTCACATCACCAAAGGAGCAGGTCTGCAATCCAAATGCCAGGAACAGCAGCACACAGGAGTGCATTCACATGGTTAATAATCTAAAACACAAAGCAGAACAAACTTTTCCCCTCCCTATATAGAGGGAGGTATCACTAAAACATTTAAGCTAAACTTATTAACTTTTACTCAGACCCATCTGGGCCTGAGTCCCACTTTTCCCCTCTACCCTTTTTTCCCTGGGAGGGGACTCTTGAATTTTTAACTGTGCTTTGAGCCCGCACTTGGGGCTTAGCAAATTCATCAGCACTGGTTTACTTCAGGCTTGCTGAGGCTGGACACCTGACGGTTGTGAGTACACATTTTACTGGAGAGTGAGCAGTTTTCAGTAACACCAGGGACAATCCCACCAGATAGTCCCAATGCTGCAAAGCGCAAACTAGTGCCAAAGCTTTCTTTTCATAGGGAGTAAATCTCCTCTCTACCTCACTGGAAGGCTAGGAGACATACGTCTCAGGGCGGAGCATTGTTCCATGGTTCTGACTCTGTAAAGCTCTCCTCACAAACAGTTCTCAAATCCAGAGGCTTAGGCTAAGGCTTGTTTTAACTAGACCATGGATTCTTGTTGAGAGCCCCAGTTCCACTCTGCTCTCTCCTTTAACAGTTCATGAAGTGGGGCTACTCTGAAAATCCCTCAATGAAATCTCAGCTCCACTCTCATTTGGTCACAGGAATGCCCCTCTTGTCCCCAAATCACTCCAAAAATTTTACTTCTTGGGAGCACAGCTGGGCTTTCTTTGGGCTCACCTTAAACCAGTTTCCTGACTCTTTTGTAACACCCTGTCCAATACCTCCAGAGTCACTTCCCTGGTCTGAGTGCGAACCAGGATATCATCCACATAAAAATATTAGACATAAAAATGTCTCTTTGGGGCATTCCTGCTCACATCTTGACCACCTAGACATGACAAAGAATAGAGGTATGTTCCAGCCATGTTCCTGGCAAAACACAACTGCTTCCCTTGAAAGGTAAAAGCAAATCTGCAATAGCCATCCTGATGTAAAGGGATAGCAAAGAAAGCCTTGGCCAAATCCAAAACTGAAACCCACTGGGCCCCCTCCTACAATGGAGGCCATCCCCTCCTGACACTTAGCCACTACGGGGACATCAGCAGGGTTACCCAACTAAGGGGCAAAAAATCCACCACAAGCCTCCAAGTATTATCATCATCTTTAAGGACTGGCCACAGAGCAGCATTATTGGGGGGTTGCCTGTTCTACCAAAACTCCTTGGCCCAAAAGCCCATCAGATGTTTCTTTCAGGCTGGCTTTTGCCTCCTTTGGCTACCTACACTGATCTGGCGTGGGGGATCGGGGCCTGTAACTAGGATTTCTGCATCAATTTTACCATATTCTATCTTATTTTTGCCCCACACTCCTGGTATTTCTCTGCAATTACTAGGACTTCTGGGGGCCACTTGGGCCACTCCAGTTCTTCAGATGCCTTAAGGGCTGGTCTCCGGTACTTTGCTCAAATCTCCACTGGCTCCCAGGGTGTGCTGGGAGGTGGTTCCCCCAGGACCCTGATAGCAAAATCAACCATCACTATCAATGCTGTTAAAGCATCAATTCCCAGAATCTCTTCTCTTTCCTTTCTCCCCTTTAGCCCTCGCCTTCCTTTAGAGTCTTATCTGGGAGGGCTATTGATTTACACGTGGTTGCTTCATTCGGAGCAACAAATTCCCTATGGCTATAAAATAAACAGCTTTGGACCCGATCCTTCTTTTGTTAATTTACTACTTTTCTCAAAACTGCTTTTCTGGCAGTAATTAAAATCAGTAGCTAAATAAACTTTCCTGTTGCTTGGCAACCGTATTTTCAAGGGCAGTAAAGTAAAGCCAGCTGTGGTTTTAACCCTTAACTTTCAAAACAAAAACGCACAAAAGAAAAAACAAATAGCATGTGTGGGGGGGAAGCCGTGTGTGTGTGTGTGTGTGTATGAAGAATGACTTAGGAAGGAAGGGAAACTTAAGCAAAAAAATAAAGCACAGACAACAACAATTCTACAAGTGGGGCTTCTTGGGCCAAAGAATCTGGGAACCTGTACCCCTAGACTGGCTCTGAGAGGAGAGTGGAGGCTGACACAACATCCGCCAGAGTGAAACTGGGGGGTGCCAGCTGTCCTTGCCAGACATCCCAAGACTGTGCTCCAGTTTAAAGTGACAACCAATTTCCCTGGTACCCTAGCCTGGTCAGGGGGAAGGGCCTGATGTCTACTCATTCTTTCCCTCCTTGGTTACCCCCTTGGGAATCAATCTTCCTCACTGTGAGGGCTATGGGCATGGGAGTCTGCAGCTCTTCCAGTGTTTCAAGCAAGGGACCACATGGGGACTGCCCAGAAGAGCCCAAAGGAAAGGGAAGTTCTTTGTGATCATCCCTCTCATCATCATAAGAAGGATGCAAGTGGGGATCCACCTCTGACCCATACCCCCTTCCCAGACTACAACTTCCTCTAATTGAAGCCACTATTCCCTTCTGCTCTCCCCCAATTGCTCTGAGAGGACAAATCTGTCTCTTACATTCCCCATGATCTGCCTGGATCTTAGCCTGAGAATCCTTCAGTAAGGTTCTAACAATTCTTTCACTCTCCATTGTCTGATGTTTCAGTCTAGACACCTCCTGTTCCAGCTTCTCACTCCCCTCTCACTGTCACTATCACACACACTTGCTTTTGCACTCCCAGTATCTGAGCTTTGGAGGATGTCTGACTCAGCCTTCAGGCTGGATATCTCTTTGTCTTTCTCAATTTTATATTTCTCTAGTTCCTCCATGCTTGCCTTTAACTGACCTATCTCTCTACCTACTACTGTCACTACTATCTGCTTACAGAGCTGCAGGATCACCCTGGGGCCAGTCAAAGCTCCAGGTTTCAGGGGCATGTTACCCCTGTTCCTGTATAAAATCAGCCAAGCTGTTTCCCCATCTTCAACTGTTCTTCCTTTCCAGATGTTTCCTTTCCTTTGGACATAATTCCTCACTTGAACAGGCCACCAGCCTGAGCTCTAAGTCCCAGGGACAGAATTTACCCATAAACTGACTTGTGAGTTACAACATGAGAACTGTAAGTAGCTACCCCACTGCACCATCCTCTACTTCCTATTGCAATAGACAACTATTGGTTTGCATCAACAGTCCCCTTCCTCTCCATCATCCTCTCTTGAGCCTCCAATTCTATTACCGAGGGTTTTGCGGAACCCAAAGCTCTTTGTAACTTTATTCTTTGCAAGGCAGTGGCAGGAAATTAATCAATGTGGACATGGCTGTCTGGCTGATAGATAGTTGATGCAAGCAGGCAAACAAAAGTGCTTTCCCTCAAAAATTCTACTTTATTTAGTCTCCAGCACTTACACCTGTCCGCAACAGCTTAGTGGAGCAGCCCTAATTACCCCCAGATTCATATTTACCCAGGATCTTGAGGAGATCTTGAGTGGCTAACTGTAGACTCCAGTGGCCAACCTTCCATATGCAGGGGAACATGAGAGGTGTTCAAGTGTTCAGGTGTCCAAGTGTCCACCGAGCCCAGAGTTCTTCCTCTTTTTATACCCAATTTGTTAGTATTACGTAGCTTGTTCATCAAAAAAACTGCTGAGTAGAAGCTAAGTAAAGTATGGAGTTTTCCAGCCTGTAGTCTGGAGTATCCCATCAGTTAACAAGCTGTATCTCACATAGGAATAGTTAACTATTGCCAGACTTTCCATCTTGCAACTTTGCATGCTTCGGGAAAAAGCTCAAGTCAGGAGGGCAGAGGGTCATG